GCCAAACAAGTCAAAACAAAATACGCGATGGTTCGAATGTCCAGTAAACAAAAAAAATAAAAATAAAAATAAAAAAAAATAAAAGCAGCAGGAAGAAAGAACACGGCGGCGTAGCGTCGCCTCAAACATAAAAAGAAAGTACACTGAAAAATGGAAGGAGTTGCTGGACCGTCGCAGAGGACTTTAGTCGTCCCGCCGCTACCAATCGCAATTTGTGCACCGTATATAACGTGACTGAAATCACCTTTATTTGCACGACGACGCTCTCCTCTTTTTTCTTTTGCATGAGCGAGAAGTCTGCTTTTTTTGTAACTCCGCTTTTATTAATTTTAGTAACAGCGTAAAACTTGCATGTCCACAATCGACTTATTCCCATAGAGTTATTACAATAAACGCTAGAGGCTCAGGTGGCGCTAGTGTGCTGTTGCATTTCAAAGCAGAGAGCAAGCAGTCAGAAATTCACTTCCGGTAATGCATTTCTATGGGAAAAAGCGAGTGCATTTTTTCTCGCGCTCGATTATAAGAGCAAATATATAGTTTGTACGTACTAGGCACATTCGAACATTTCTCAGTCACGCAGACAAAATAATTCGTCAGTTACAGCATTTTTATTTAAAATTCGTGGCATGAAAAACGTTATTAAAATCGCTTCGTACATGTATTTATGTGCACTGTCGGACACTGTTAGCGCGAATACGGCGTTGACGCTTTCCAGCATGGGGGATATACGTTCCATACGAACGAAGGACATGTGGAAAACCAAGAGAGACGGCAAGAACTACGCAGTAACACTGAATAAGTAACTCCTTGCGCTTGCAGACGATCAAAATTAATTGAAAGTCACGTAATATAGTCCAATTTGCAATAAATAAGTACGGCTTTATTCTTTCTGCTCATGAATACGTGCGAAGATGCTTGTTCTGTCTTCAAATCATCACCCGCACGCTCCAAATCTTTGCAAATAGGGGGAAGCCAGAGAACAGGTGCGCGACAAAAACTGACAAAAATAAAACATAATAATAAAACACAGCTTTCGTAGCGCACGTACTTTATTCTTTACGTTTCGAACGTTTTTTTAACCACTCGTAAAAATGCACGACGGGGTCATTTTCATATAGTGAGAGGACAGGCATATTAGCAATATATAGGCACCAACGGAAAGCTGGCGAATTTTGAACACACTTTACATTCCTGTCGATCGTTATTTTGCTTAGAATCGTCGCTCGTTTCTACATCGCTGCCATGGAACACAGGTTTGGGCCTGAAATATAGCGAAGTTTAGCATCGTTCAGCGGTAAAAGAAAAATGCTGTAACTAAAGCAATTACTTTCACAATATTAATAAAGGTACATATTATCCAGTACAACCGAAATAACAAAAGTTATGCATGTTATTTTCCGGCGACGAGACAAAATTCGCGCGCGTTTTCCCATAGGAATACACAGGAAGACGGGAAAAGTAGACTTTATGCTGTCTGCTTCAATTGGCAACCGGAAGTCCCGTAGACACTAGCGCCAGCTGAGCCTCTAGTGTTTATTGTACTAACTCTATGCTTATTCCAGAGCATACTGACATCCCAGTAAGGTGCGTGGCTAAAAATTGCCTTTTGCTTCTTCATCCGGAGACGATCTTAACTGTTGGTGGTGTCCCATTTCCCTCTGTATCGCTTACCACAGATCTTGGTTGTTACAATCGTAAATGCAGTGCTAAAAGTATTAGGTATGATTTCACGTTTATGTCGCCAATTTTCTGCCACTTCATGTTTATTGCATTTGTATAAGCCTTTGGTTAGATCACGGTTAGAATTTTGTTCTGTGGTTTGGAATTCACTGTCTATTTTGCAAGCTATCGCGATTGAAAATGTACAGAAGCGAATGATTAGAATTGTCTATGATAGGTATATCAGAATGGTTTTTTCTATCGCTCCGAATTATTGCTTTACAGGTTTCTATTATATAACCTCACTGTGACAAAACAGTACCGAGATTATATGTTTTTGTATAAAGTTGTACATGGTGAGGTAAACTCGACGGACTTATTGCAGTCTATTGACTTCCATGTTCCACCCCAAATCATTAGTAACAAATCAACTTTTTACCCCTCCTGTACATCACATGTGTCACCTATTTTGAGGGTTCAAATTGATTTTAATAATGCACATCAGAATAACTTTGATATATTTAGTGCACACCAGGATTTTATGCTACAGTTACGCGAATCGATGCAATTGCCTTAAAGGCCGACGACCAGACTCGGGATTCTGCAAGGCAGAAGACCCTCCTCTCCACGCCTTCGGGCGAGGAAAGCGAAGGATGGAAAGAAGGGACCAAGAGGGGCGGGCGTGGGTGGAAAGGGTAGGAGGGAGAGGAGGAAGCGGGCGAAAAGTGGAAAGCGCGAACTGGTCGTCGGTCTTTAAGCAGGCCAAATCAAACTATAACCCTAGTTTTTCTTTTTGTTTTAGAGCGCAGCTCTTAGGCGCCCGTTTCCGGCTTGAGCGGCGTCGGCGTCGGCGTAACCGCGCGGTGCATTATGGGAAATGTCCCATAATGCACCGCGCGAGCCCCCTCCCCCCCCCCCCCCCCCCCCCGCCGAGGTCACGTGACCCCCCAGGTCACGTGAACCGCCAAGTCACATGCCTTCCAGGTCACGTGACCCCCGTCCCTCCAAGATCACGTAACCCCCCTCCCCGCGAGGTCACGTGACACCCCCTCCCCGAGGTCACGTGACCTCATCGGAGGAGATTGAAGAATGAGGGGAGGAGAAGGAGGAGGAGGAGGAGGAGGAGGGGTATAGCCTCCTCTCAGTACTCTTTCATCCTTCTCCTCAAAAGTTGCGCTCTAATTTGGTGTAGAGGGAGTTTTAAACGACTTTCACTTTTTTTGCTTGGGTTTGTTGTTAGTTCTTTGATAATTTGTATTTTTGTCTTTTATCTATAATACTTCACCCATGTTTGTGCACCACACAGTTAACCGCTCGGTTGTTTGTGGGCGCTGAAAAATACAGCATTGTTATTATTTTTATTATTATTATTATTATTAACGGGACTAGCCAGTTCGCCTATTCGAGGAAACGGGTTTAAGCAATACATTCATGAAAAATGGGAATAGCAACAAGAAAACAGATTGATCGCAAGAACAGTAAAGTTGAAACGTAGCTATGTTCTGAAATTTTTGTGCATTCCCTTTTTTAAAGAAACAGGCCGAAGGTATATTCGTGTTTTGCCTGGCTTACATAAGCTTTCACAGAGTGTTTTCTTCAGGAGAGCCCTACAATTGCACCCTGAAAGCTGTAACATCGTTCCCACGCGAAGGAAATGTCATTCACTCATGAGGTGGCACCTATTTCTTAAAATTCAAAGCAGAAAATACCCGCGACAATTTTTGTTTCATTGGTCATTTCGCACGGAGAGAGGCAAAACCAATGCGCTGTGGAGAATTCGTCTTCTTGCGGAAACTCCAAACTCGCCAGGGGCGCTGCGATCGCTTTCGCCCGCACTTCGTGGGAGTTGCCAGTAGTGGCTTACATGGTATTTGTCCGAGCTCTGACTGGAATGATTAGCTGCCTTTGTCGGTACTCATTGTTCGAACGCGTTCTAAGGCGAATGTCGACCGCCGGACGCCGGCGTTCGAACCACTTCGAAGAGTGAGTAGAGACAAAAACAGCTAGCTTTGCGTCTACCCACTAATCATTCCAACCAGAGTTCGCTGTTCAGACGTCCCCGCGCGCTCTCGTATCCTCCTCCCTCCCGGTTTCTACCCTCATAGTCACTGACAGTTTAAGAAATACGGACGCGGCTTATCATGGTCATGCCCTTGCGTGTCTTAAGGTTTCGGTGACTTTAGTGAACATAGGTTGAGAAACAAACCCCCACAGGTCTTGACATATACTAAATAAGCGGGGATGCCATAAGCTAACATATACATCGCACCAGATAACAGTGATCCAATTCGTTGAACTGCCAGGGTTACACCGCGCATTCGTAAGGTATTTCGATTAGTTGCTGTAATGTAATAAACCTATGGATCTTCGGCATGTATCCACCTGGTCGAGAAGAGACCCAGGCTTAACGAGGAAAATATCTCTTCAAGATTTCAGATCTCACGCGTGGATTAAAAATCATACTTAAGTTTAAGCCTATATATCGTTCACTTATACAGGCTAAGCGATGGGCGAAGCAAATATGCGACGTCGCGTAACCAATATGCGCAGTGACTGGGCAATATTTCAGGATAAGTCTGCAGATTATATTATTCCGTCGTCTTTCCCTACTCGCGAGATAAGCTCGATGGGAGCATGGAAAGCGTTATGACCCGTTTACCGTGGCACGCAGTATCTCGGCTGCAGATTGCTATACTATTACGTGCAATCACAATAGACCACATTCTTATTAATCTACTTTTTTTTTTGTTTAGCGTCGCTATATAGGACTTTGCCGAAACAGCGGTGTAATGATTCTTAAATAATGTTAACACGAAGACTAGAGTTCCGTTGATAATTGCAAGTACACCAAAGCTGAAGTACAGTGTCGGTCGCGTAAGAAGAGCGCGGGCAAAGACCGAGCGGATGACGTGCGCCATCTGTTGTGCCATGCGCGCGCTAAGATGTAACGCTGCTCATTGTGACGTTGCCCACGTAAATTATAGAATCCTAGGATGGGACGTCTCCTCTCATCCAATCAGCAAAAAATGTTCTATTCTGTGCCCCGTCTTCTCCGCGCGTTTCATAAATGCGCCACTGGCTTTGACTGTCTACTAACGGGTCTTGATACGGAGCTCTTTCTTTACACTGTTATGATTAGGATCCCGATAGACCGACCTTCGGGATGAAGAGTCGCGCTAGCACTAAAAACGGGGACAAACAATTTCAGGGATGACTCGTATGCAAGGTCGCAGAATAACACTTTTAGCACGCGGTTTTATTCCTGTCCGAGTGATACCATTTAGCAAAAAATGGTATGATCCGAATATACAAGGAAGGGGGCGCCATGGTCGTCCTCTTACCTCAGGTTGCAGACGTAAACGACGAAGGTGAGCACGACAGCTCCGAGACAGATCACGCATCCTCCAAGCATGACGATGCTAACCCGAGGAGGCGGAATGCTTTTTTCCTAAAAGAAAAACAAAAAAAAAACAACAAAGAAACGGTGTTAGCGGTATGAGAGGTATGACGAACGCCTGAAAAAGAATTCTTGGAGATTATGAGAAGAAAAAAAAAAAAATTAAGTAGGGAGAATGAGTACACGCCAGTTGATCTTAGCGTGACATGTTCAAAGCTAGACTGGGAATGGTTTGTTGTTTTTTTTCCCCACTGATTGATGGTTCATGATACGAATAATGCTTGGCGAGTCGGTACTTGAGAACGATCTATCTCTGCAAGAGCGATGAGGCGTTATGATGATGATGATGATGATGAGGATGCGGCTTGTTCCCTTTGAAACGGGCGAGCGCGAACTAAGTTCGTGCCCAAGCCTGGGAGCGAGGAGGTCTTAATGCCCCCTGAGGTGGATCTTATTCCACCAATCTTCAAGTCTTCGTTTGGTGGCCACTACAAGCTTGTGCCGCCCGCTAGAAGGCCCCTTTATCTGCGCAGCTGCAGAGTTTTGTGCATCAGAGTAGTCTGCTTGGTTGCGCCCGATTTCAGTAATTGTGAAGCCCAACGCCTCAGCGAGCACTAAGGGACTCTGCAGGCGTGGGCACCGGGACGGCTGAAGTCCCGCACAATCTAGCACAACGTGCTCCACCGTTTCATCGTAGCCCCCGCAGACCCGACATGCGCTCGAGGTCACCGTAGCATCAAACCGGCGTCTGTAAACTAGTGTCCGGAGGGCCCCGGCGCGCGCCTCAGACAACAAGCGGCTGCCCAGGCTGTTGTCGTACAGCAGTGCTTCCGATGCGATGGTTGTTTTGTGGTTCAGGTACACTTGGAGCGTCGATTTTGTTTTTGCGTCTCGGAGCCATTGTTGGGCCTCCTTGTCACGGACTTTCTTCTTAACCTCTGACGCCCATTCCCTTTCTGATGACGCTTCAACGGGGTCAGAAAAAAAGCCATACTTGAGCTCAAGTTGATGAAGGCGCTTTTGCCAGCGTGTCCGCAGTCCCGTCAGGTGGGTGTACATAAACAACCTCCTGGCCCACCTGCAGCTGTCCACATGGCGAAGACGCCCGTAGTAGGTAATTTTGCAGGTTGCCTCCCGAGCCTCAAAGGAGGACCAGCCCAGCTCTCCCTGAACTGTCTCGTTGGCGACCCTCCCGTGGCAGCCCAATGCCTGGCGTCCAATCTCTCTCTGCCGGCGTTCCATATGGGCTCGGACATCACCGGGAACGCATACTACGGCATTTGCAAATGTCAGTCCAGGTACTACTACCGCTTTCCAGAGCTCCCGGGACACAATGAACCGATTGCAACTCCAAAGGCTTCGCTTGCGGAGAATGTTGGCTCCTCGTGTGGCTGCGTGGCGAAGATAAGTGTGGTGGTCTTGTAGGTAGTCTGCCGCATTTGACAGTGTGATGCCCAAGTACTTATATGAGTCGAGTATTGGCACATCGCATCCGCCGAGGCGAAGGCTGCCGAGTGTTGGCTCGAGGGAGCCTGAAAACACAACCACCGCTGACTTGCCCGCGTTGAATCTCAAGCCAAGCTCCATAGCCTCATGCGTGCATATGTCAAGAAGTTGTTGCATTTCAGACACTGATGCCGCAGTCAGTACCACATCGTCAAGGGCACCGACTTTTTTTTAAAGTTTGTTTTAGAAAGCATTTATAACTCTCTCCTTATTTATGAGACGATGCTAAAAAGCTTTGTACGCAGACTTCCAGGGAGCAACAGGTTACGTGCAGTAAAGCTCCTCCCTGCTTCCTTTACACTCAGGCTTTGTTTGAGCTGTGCCACTCCGAGGCCGTGCTGGAGTTACCTGGTAAAATACCATTTGGACAGCAACCTGAGTTTAACCCATATTTCGATGCAGTCTGGGGCGGAGATGGGGTTGAGTATGTGGCGGCTTTGTGGCCTTTATACGAGTGTCTCAAAATAATGCAACGTCTACGCAAGCAAATCTATGTGCATGACGTTATTTTAAGTGCACCTCTGGCCTGAGCCAAGCGGAGAACATACAGAGGCTTGACGATAGTGTGCGGCGATGTGACATAGAATTTTCCCATGGAGACGTTTCACACCGGTATTGCGCTCGTTGCGAGACGCCGCCAACGCCTCACAGCTGCCCTACACTGCGCTGTGGCAATCGACTGGTGATGGCGATATAAACGATAAAATCCAAACAGATTGTTTTCTAGGTTGTGCCGTATTTTCTCGAGTAATAGCCGCAGTTCTTATGAACAAAGCCTCTAGGTTTGATTTCCCGCTGAGTACGGGGATAGCTTATCACCGCCATCGGCAGAAAAATGGCAGCGATTTGCAGGAAAAAGATAACATCGTCAAGCGAGACTGCTATCAGCTGAGATCGCATTTTTAAGGAGAATCGTGTTATGAACGTTAGTTGCTGCTTGTTTTTTTTGTTTTTTTTTTTAATGCGGAACGCGATGGTTGGCTGCATGTGTGTTCTGCAGAAAGTAGACGCAAGGGCGTTGTTCGTAAGAAGTGCGGCTATTACTCGAGCAAATGCAATATGTAGCTCACCAATATTATGAAGATATCAAAATCACTGTTTGATTGTCGAGGAGAAGAGCACTGTGTTAATGACGCTATCGATTAACTGAAACAATGATGTTTGCTTGTGAAGCTGAAAAAATAGAAATGAAAAAGTTACAAATAAAAAAAGCAAAAAAGCAACAACAGAGTACAGACATTTGACAGGGCTCGTTGACTTATTATGCATTAGAATTTACAACTTTAGTGTACACATAATAACACGCCAAAATAAAGTACTGACAATAACAACTGCATGTTTATTTTGTTCAGTGTAAAACTGCATGCTACTAACTCCAAAAAAATATGGACTGCACAAATATGATCATAATTTCGTCGTCTGTTTCTGTCGTCCCGACAATCAAGCTCACGACAGACTACGCTGCATGGAAGATTGACACGATGGGACTGTAATATATCGTGGGCCCCCTTCATATCTCACTCGGCTGCCACGCGAGCGCAGAAACAGAGACGACCGCACTGTGCTAACTATTCTGTTTTGAAGCCAGCGTCCTGAGACGCGACAGGACCCGAAGTATTACAAAACCAAGTTTTTCGTACCTTGTAAAGGGTTTCATAGTTAGGAAATAGTTAACTTCAGCCCCGTGAAACTTGAATTAAGCTTTGAGCGACAGAGCAGCCTGGAACAGACGTTCTACGCTCGCTGCGCTTGACAACAGTGCCTCGAACGACGCGACAACTAAACACGCCTCCCTGCACATTTTGTTTTGCAATGTTTTTGTGTTTCTTGCGCAAGGTGCGAAGTTTTTAAAACAGGCGCGAAATCTGGGAGTGAAACGTTGGACAGCGTGCGTTGATGTACCTTGAGCCAGTTCTTGTGCAAGAGGGCGGCCACGTTGCCGGACTGCTGACAGCGACAAGTGGCCGTGCGCCCGGACTGGCTGACGAGGCGGCAGTTCTCCCTGGACCAGAGCCTGCGAGCGGTTGAGCGTGCCGTAATGAGCTGTCGGCAGCCGTCGACGCGGCGTCAATGATCGAATTCCTCGTCACTCTTTCCTAACCATCGGCTATTCCAACACTCCCTTGATATCAAGATCGGAAAACTAAGGTTTATACATCACACACACACGCAAACACACGCACACGCACACCACAAACACACACACAAATTCTAGTGCATTTACGCTATGGCGTAACGTGTATTACAAAAATAAGAGCGCTCCGTAACTGAAAGCAGCGTATTTAGGACCCGCTCCTGTCTCTCCGACGTCTACTACTAGTGCGATGTACAAGTTCATGAACTTTGGACGCTTGGTGCGCTTGTTTACCTGACGAATACATGCATGTACTTTTGTCCCCCCCCCCCCCCCCCCCCCCCCCCACACACACACACACAAACCCAGTCACTCGTGTTTGCGTCTTTAGGTGACGGGTAAAGGCCCGTTCACACTCTTGCAACCGAGTATGACCGAGAGAGACCGGACCGGTTTTTAATCTTTTTGCGACGTCTTAGGACCGGATGCGCTGCAGCGGAGCTGGTCCTAAGACGTCGCAAGAGGCTTAAAATCCGGTCTGGTCTCTCTCGGTCGTACTCGGTTGCAAGAGTGTGAACGGGCCTTAAAGCGCCGTTCACATATATGCGACCAAGTAAGACCGAGAAAGACCAGACCGTTTTTTAAGCCTCTTGCGGTCGCTTAGGACCAGCTCCGCTGCTTCGCATCCGGTCCTAAGAAGTCGCAAAACCCTTAAAAACCGGTTTGGTCTCTCTCGGTCTTACTCGGTCGCAAGAGTGTGAACGGCGCTTTAGGAGCGCATCTGCGACGTTTTAGGACCGGATGCGGTCCCAAGACGTCGCAAGAGGCTTACAAACCGGTCTGGTCTCTCTCTCTCTTACTCGGTCGCATATATGTGAACGGACCTTAAGGTGGAAAATTTGAGCACAACGGACGTGTTATTTCTTCTACACCGTTACCCTTCAGACCGCAGACGATGTTGCGATCCGATGGAGCCAATCAAGCAGCGCCAATAGTGCATAGTCACGGCGCTTATTAGCTTTTCGAGTTCGCTGTTACGGAGTAAACCAATCACGCACGGCAAATGAACCCCCCATCATGGGATTTGTTTTTTCTGAGCGTGATTGGTTTAGCCAGTCAAGGTCAGGCATATACACTCTGAAAAAAGTTTGTGCGTCTACTTTCAGCAGAACACCCGGAGAGCCAATCACCGCAACTTACGGAGGCAGCTCAGCGAATGACGGTGCCGAAACATATGTTTAGACCGAAAAACGCAGTCTGAGTTGTGACATTAAGCAATGCAAAACGTCACGCTTGCACCGCTTAATGTCACAACTCGCACTGTGTTTTTTTGGTCTAAACATATGTTTCGGCATTGTCATTCGCTGAGCTGCCTCCGTAATTTGAGGTAATTGGCTCTCCGAGTCTTGTGCGCGAAAGCAGACGCACGGGCTTTTTTTTAGAGTGTACAATTACGCATACCGACAAAGACTATAAGGGCGCCATGACGATGCGAAAATTTTGGTGCGGCTTGATTGGCTTCATCGGGTCGAGCTGCGGTCGGCGAAGTAAAGGGCTGTTTATACTCCTACATCGACGAAAGCAACGCGCGCCGGCGTTCGTCGGCCACTACACCGCGTTGAAAAGTACCCGAACCATGTGGTTTACATTCCACCGTAGACCAACGCTGGTCCAGCGCGACCCGACAAACTGCCCCACTTTGAGCATGCGCGTCTCCGTGACAACCACATCGTCTGTACGGGCTATCAATGGGCGGTAGCTTGCTCCACCTAGCCTACATGCAATCGGTCAGTGTAGTTCGTCCTCGTGTTGTCATGTCACACTTCAAAACAACCAATTGGGGTAGCGGTTAGCAGCTATAAAACAAGCAAATGATGGTGATAACGAGTGAAAATCAGCATTTATTTTCTCATAAATGTCACACAAGTGTCAACACACACACACTCCCCCAATAAAAGCCCGATATCGCGTCCGTCGAACCTAGCTGCTTTCCAGGTTCGCCGGAATCGTGCCGAACGACTCCGGCGACTCCGCCGGAATGCTTCGATGAAATCGATGCACTCGATGTTCCACAGAGACCTCTTTCTGACATATATTCTGTGTGTTATCATCATTGTAGACTTTCACGCGGACTTAATCCCTTAAGTGCCTTGGACGAGCTGAGCTCGTCGGTCACTTTCTGGCTAAAAATGCCATGGACGAGCTCATCTCGTCCAGTGTTTTTTTCGATATCCCTCAATTCCACGAACGAGCTAGGCTCGTCCGAGTAGTTTTGCGGCGCTGATCATAGATGGCAGCACTCGTTTTAGTTGGCAAATATTTTTTTCGCCTCCGCTGATTTTTGCGTAAATAATGGCACTTTTATGTTACTTTTGGAAAAGAAACTATTGGCACTTAAGGTGTTAAGAAACGGACACCGAAGAGAGCTGACGATGCCTAAATTACGCAATTTACTAAGTGTTCGAAATTGTGACACACCTAACAAAGCCTATGCAAACAATATATGATGCAGTTCAATTGTCATAGCGTATCGCAACTATCGTTTACAATTTGAGACAGCCGAATTGAAAATTTCTGGCCGGGTAAATAGTTCAGAGGTTTCACTGTGTCCGCCTTTCCCGTACATTCGACGACGCTCTTTCGATCGGGAACCAATGCCGGTGCGTGGGAGCTAGTACATCATTATAAATAGGAGACACATTAACTCATCCTTAAATCTAATTGACCCTACCTTTGGCGCGTCATCAAGCTTCCAGCTTTTGCCGGCACCCCAACAACACGGCCCATTACCACCGGCTCGTTAGGTCAACAGGCCTATCGAGAATCGAGGGTACCGCATCCTGGAAGCTGTCCACGTCCACGTACCCACTCGCCCAGTCAAGCGCACGAACTTTAAATACGCACACTAACACGGGAACACGACAACAGCACACGACACACAGCAAGAACGGCAGGTTCAGATCCCAGAAATGAGCATTTGGCACACTCCGACTGGCTTCGACAACCGGATTCCCGAATGAGCTAGGCACTAGCGCGAGGGCTTCTGGGATGGCCTCCGTCGTCGTCGTCGACGTCCAACGTTGAACGGTCGAGCATGTCGCAAACTGCGCTGACGCGCGTCGAGCTGCCCAGCGCGCCGCGGCGTTGAACTTGACGTTGGGGTATAGACGCCCCGTTCGCGGACAGTTACAGCGAGAGTGAACGAGCCCGCGCGTTCTAAAACGAAGTATTGAGGGCGATGGGTATTCGCCGTTAGAACAGTCACCCATGGCTTTTCTCCCCGGGACCATTTAACGCATACGCGCACGTTTGCAAAAAAAGAATTAAAAAAAATATATATATATATATATAAATATATATAAGCCGAGACGCTCGGCGAAACTGTCGTAATGCATATAATAAGCTCCTAGCATAGAGACTCCGCAAGTACGGATCTCTGAATTATTACATTTTCCCGGTCTATTGTGCTCAAACTACTCTGCCTCACCTATATATATATATATATGTGTGTGTGTGTGTGTGTGTGTGTCTGTGTGTGTGCGGAGTGTTACTGTAATAAGTTGGAGTGCCTTCTTTCCAGCAAAGCTCCCCATGGAGAGTCAAATCGCCGCAGCCGCTGTAACTTACGGAGGCCCCTCGGCGATGACGACGCTGATAATGTATTTAAACGTAAAGAAATGACGCGCTGCGTCACTGAACGTGACGTTTCACAATGTTCAATGTCACTGCGCAGAGACGCCAGTTTCTATATACAACCGCGTCAATTTTATGACGTCACGGAACGGAAGGGTCACCGTTAGCGTAATTACTTTAAAATTAACGCTCTAAAAAGAGAAAAAGAAAAAAAAAACGAAAAAAACCTTTGCTTGACGGCGAAGGCGTTTCGGTGATTAGACAGTGAGCAAACCGCTTTTTCTTCTTGGCGATGCTTTTCTTGTTGTTCCAAAGTAGCAACAGACTATCGTGCGTAAAACGTGCAGTGAGATCATTTTTTCTTTTTTTTTTTTCTTTTAGCGAGGGTTTTGCGACAACTGACAATCTGATCGTGGGTAGTGGATGTCGTTTCATTATTCTTAGGACACTCGAGCGTTAGGTCTCATCTGTCGTATAATACTGCAATTGCGATCGAGACAGCAGTTTGTATTTCTTTTTGCTTTTAAAACTACAATCTCGCGGCTACAGCCTCTTCTTTTAAATCATTAAAGATAAAAATGAACGCAAACCTAGTCGTCCGTCTTCACAGAGTGGAAAAAAAAAAGCAGCTGTACGAACAGGACGGTCCCCAACCAAAACAACAACAAAGATCCTTTCGCGTTTTCTCGGAGTCACTGTAAACAAAAAAAAAGCAATGTGGCGCGTTCTTTCTTTTTTTTTTTATGTCGTTTTGTTTAGAAAAGCTTGAAGACGCAACATGCTTTCCCTAAACACGAAATGCAATTCCTTCGCATTGAGCCCGCGCTCGTCCGCGTCGCACGGCCGTAAGCGGGGATCGGCGAACCTAACCGGATCGAATCCCCGTCCACGTCTCGGCGTTTCTCGCGAGCCGGCTGCTATCAGCAGGTAGCCAACGCTTCGAACCGTTTCCCGAAGCGACAGAAACCCATTCGCCTTTCGAGGGTATTTCAAGAACGCGCTGTTTCACACGCTCTCAGGACGCGACAGCCAGCGGATCGATAGCGTTCCATTCCGGGACCCAAAGCACACATCGGCGTCGGCGGCAGCTCTCTATACCTGTCTCGCCCACCCCTCGGCGTTTCGCTCGCATGTGTGCCGACATGGTCCCCGATGCTGCAAAGTCTGATCCGAGGTCTTCTTTTGCTCGTTACGCGGCTCATGACGGCGTGCCCGAGGCCATGCCGGGATTGGCACTGCATTGTATAGTCTGAAGTCTGTGTGTCGAAGGGGGCAAGCGGGAAAGCCCGTAAATTCTGCGCCGTGTAATGTGTTTCGTTGTGTCGAAAGTTGCAAGCAGTGTGCGGAGTGTTTTTTTTTTTTTTTCCGGAAGCCGGCTGAATGTAGAGAGGCCTACGAAAGTTGGTTGGTTTCGTGCGAGGACTCGTATTCGGCAGCATTTTGTGGGTGCGTGCGATGCCGAGAAACGGGGAGAAAGAAAATAAACAGAGCCATCTATTTTTTTGCTCTATATCATTTTGCGTTGCATAATCATGTACACTCACCACGTGGAGTTCCATACGGAGCCACACTCAAGCGCCGTTGTAGAAAGCTTGCTTTCCTGCAGAAATACAAAAGAAAGAAAGAAACAAATGCATTAAATGAGAATTATTTGAATGTATTGTCGAGCAGAAATGCCAAGGAATTATGTGGCTGGAGATAGGCTTTACACTTTAAGAAATGCCTGCGGGTCTACCCACCCGCAAAACGCTTAAAAAACCAATCTCTGCGATCTACAAAATCAGCTGAGCGAAGGATGAGGTGGAACATCTGTTTAGAACACAAAATTAAATCTCAGCGGCATTACGAAATGCAAGCATGACGCTTTGTATAGCGCAGACTTCATTTTTAGGTCTAAACGGATGTTTCGCCTCACCATTCGCTAAGCTGATTTCGTAGATCGCAGAGATTGTCTCATTGAGTGTTTGGCGGGTAAGTAGACGCGCAGGCATCTCTCGGAGTGTAGTCATCGTCCCTCGGATTTTCAATCAGTGTTTAAACGTGATAATAGTTTTAAAGAAACGATTCTTTCCCGTTTCAAGTCTAAGTAAACAACAAAAAGGAACTCTCTCTCTCTCAAAAAGAAAAGAGATGCACATTTTGAATAACATTTTATCAATTTGAAGGGAATCACACGTATTTATTTGATACCTCGAAACGTTTTGCATTTAAGCGTTTAAATCCACTTTGTTCCGAATAAGCGGCAACGCATTATAATTTTCAGATACTTCTCGCGCGATAGCTTTCATTTTTTTTTTTTTTTATTCCAGTCGAAACCTTTAAGAGCGCAATGGGCCATGACAGAAAATTTGAATACGTTTTTATGTCTTAGCCATGAAAGCTTCGGGATTCCTTCGAGCGTATATTTAGATACGGCGTAAAAACTCAACTGAATGAAGAATATTTTTCGATGGAAAGCGGGCGTGTTCTCGCAAATGCCTTACGACTTCTTTCTGTGGGAATTCAAATAGGGAAAGGCGCAGATACTGCATTGATTTTGTTCGTTGTGGCGACATTAATTTCCATCAAATGGGGGACAGTATTTTTCCGTTGGTCTGAAGGCTTTTGAATTGGCGAAAGGAAAATTTGAGAGGTAATGTAGTCCCATATTACTAAGCAATGATGGTGATGCCGTACATATTTTCCGAACGTAATTTATAAATCATATCTTGATTAGCTTGTGATAGAAAGTATCAATCAATCAATAAATCGGTGAGTCAATCAATAAAACTGCGCCTAATATAGTGTCTAAGAAGCTCTGAGTATTCCAGAGAGCACATTAAGAAATGCAGCAATGCAGCCCATGCGTGTGACACTACTATTCATATTTAATAATAGGAAAATAATCTGTAGTATTTATTCTTGTCCAAACACACCCACAGTGGTCTCTTGTTTTGTGCGACAACAGAAATAAAGAAAGCCCTAACACGCATGCACAGAAGTAATATTTATAACAATATTGTGAACTTAACACATAAAACCATCCAACTGATCTCGGGAGGTTAAAAATTGTTGAGGAGTCGTCGACGTTGGGGGGGGGGGGGGGGGGGGGGGGGGGGGGGGGGAGAAGGAGAGGGGGGGGAAGGGGAGGGGGGGGGGGGAAGGGGAGGGGGGGCGATGTGATGGTGTCTGAATTTGTGCGAGTGTCTTCCGTTCAGTTTTATAGAACTTTCACTCATTGAAACAAAAGCAAGGGAACGGCTTTAAGGAGGCGATTGAAACTCCGAGGAATAGAGAGTCCTAAATCAACCTGGAACTTGTTTTAATTGTGTAAGGCACGTTTTTTTTAAAAAAAGCTCATAAGTATCGGAAATGATCGACAGACATTGTTTTAAATGCGGATTGAATTACCATGACGCTAAAGATGTTATTGCATCGAAACAAAGGGAAAAATACGAGTCTTTGTTTAGACAGTGTAAGGTTAACCTGCCTCTGGAGGTAAGACGACGCCGGTTCATGCTGTAAATAATAATTTGAGCCGGTGCAGCACGATTGCTAGTCTGGGATTCTTAACGTGTATTACGCAGTACTAGTTACAGGATCTCACGCTGATACAATGCTCATTTAGTTCGAAACGGGCGGGATGGAGATTGGATCCGTAGAGGATCTTCGGGTTCAGCAGTGCGTGTTTTCGCTGCACGCGCTTGGTGATGCTGCAGAGCGTTAACGCGCTCGGCAACCGATCCCCTATTGTAACGGGTCAATTAATGTAAAGTCCGGTTAAGCCTTTCTGTTTTGGCTGTGTTGCGTCGGAGCAGGCTTTGAAACGTTGACTGTACAGAAGCCTACGTACTGCGCGGTCACACTGTTTTGTCAAGGAGCTGTCAACGCAGTCGAACGCTGCAGAAATCGCATCCTTTCGTAAAGGCTTCAGTTAGCAAACACCATGTGGCTCTGATTTGCGCGCTCTCTTAGAGTTCCTCGATATGCTCCTCCGAAGGGGGAGCAGAGTTGCGCATTTGTTTTCCCCGCGCCGCCACGCCGCTATTCGCCGAGATTCATCACGTGAGGAGCAAAGCATCCGGCGCCGTGCGAGAAAGCCACCTTTACGGTCGCTCCGCCGACGCCGGCGTATGTTCCCCTGCTTTCGCCCTCCTTCTCCTCCTCTCCTGTTTTCCATTCGCGCGGCGCCGCTATTCGCCAAATTTAGTCACGTGAGGAGCAAAGCATCCATGGTGTGCGGGAAAGCCGGCGCTACGGCCACCCGCCGAGGCTGAATGCGCAACTCTGCTACCGTAGGTAGCTACATACAGGAACTCTACGCTCTCTGGCACATGAACGGATCGTTTCAGCATGGCACCTGGAATGTGACTACGACTGACTCATTAACCGCGTCTTTATGTTGGCTCTCTCGATTTCTCGTTGGGGACGTCGCAGCTGAGTATTCAGATAATGGGGGTGGCACTGCAGCAGAGGTCATACGACGAACAATTGTTCCGTTGGAGCGCGCTCCGCAGTCGACCAGTTGACGAAAGCTTTGCCAGCCACGGGTTGGGACAACGCCACGACCGTGACGCCATGTCTTCTCGCATTCTTCCAGTGTTGTAGGTGTTACAAAAAAAATGTAACGAACTATGTTACTCGCTACTTGCAAATAAAAAGAAAGAGTTACCGTCCTACGTTAATTCAAAATGAAATGAACGTGTTGCTGATAAAACTAGTGCACATTACCTTTGCGTTACCTTTTAAATAATGAACGTCAAAGCGTTTCACTGGTTTGACGTTAGAGGTATGCATAAGCGCCATATTGTACGTTACCTTTACTGTTTTTATAATGAACGAGCACGTCACGACGTTAGTGAAAAAAGTAACGCGCTACATTACACGCAACGCGTTACCGCCAACACTGCATTTTTCGCGGACACGGCTAAAACCACAGCCAGGACGACAACGCGTAGCGGTAAACTACGGCATCTGCGACGTATTTCTTTTGACACCCGAGAGATGCTCTGACGCATATTTAGGTTTCCAGTACTTTGTGTGTCAGCCCTGAAGTTCACAAAAGGGCCCGATTTGTGCGGTACGTTCGTAGCTACATTGCCAAAATGAAGCGCATCTTGCATCGGACGTTCACAGTTGCTCAAACTGCCGCTGCAATGATGCTGCGATTTCTGCCAATGGACTGCCGGCACGTCTCAATACATACTTCCTTAGACCAGACTTAATTGCTATCTCAATAGTTTCTTTTATGTTCTCAATTCCGCTAATTATACCTTCGTGCGTTCCGCAATCAGGGGTAACTTTAGACCTAGAACATTTTTATTCTACGTTATGAAAATGAAGAAAAGCACGATTTGCACGTTCATCCTCATATTACAGAAGAATGCACAATGATGACGTTGCGAACTAACACGCCATCCATTTACGCAAAAAGTATGACCTTGCTTCGTAACGTAATATCGCTAGCTCATAACTGAGTGTAAACGCCCACCTTTAAATCGGTGTTGCAAGACATCAAACTCTTTCATCTCTCCGAACGAAACTGAAACTGTTTTTATTTTTTGGCCCATCTTTATGTTACTGTTATGATGGCGATTTCGCGGGGTGACTGACTTTATTACTTTAGCAGGTGATGATTAGATGTCACTAACTGAAAAGTTTGGCTACACTACTCAGACCTAGGGAAAGTGGACGGCACTAAACTACGATCCCGCGAATATGTAATTCGCGGTGCTTGACTTGAGCTGCATGTCGCAGTGTAATAACAAAGTTACGTTACATTAAATCGATAACGTACACTAAAAATGATATTTATGTGTACTTTCCCATAAGACACGAGTACAACCGATGACCGCTAACAGCGGATGGAATCCTGACTGACGAATTTCAGAACACGATTATAGGCCCGAAAGAGGCGATGTGCGCATGAGGTTTCACTTGCTGATTGTCCCCAGAAACATTGCAGTTCCAGATCTAATCTTGTTCCGAGAGTCGTCTTTTACTGGGGTCCTTTTACTGTTTGCCGTGATCGACTACCCCTGTGTTTTGCAGGAAAGTTGACTCACAGGCCTTTTTAGGCTGCCGTTTATTCACATCGCGGAATTCACTCGACAACCCTACTTTGTGTAGACCCACCTCCTTGTAGTTCATGGTGACGTCGAAGAACGAAGTCAAGTTGCTCGTGGCGCCTTTCAGGGGTGGAAGGAAAGCAATGATGAGCAAGTCACTGTTGAGCAAGATGATGTCGTTGTTCAGCAGGGAACCCAAGCCCCTCAGCACCAACACGGCTCGAACGCTCCCTGAAGGGTAGTCGTCTGCAGCGATACAAAAAAAAGAAAAAAATTGTTTTCACCGGTTATGAACTTATCAAGAAATAAATGCATACAAAAAGAAAGTAGCGCGTTTCGCGGACTGTAGTGTGGGTATGATTCATGGTTAACAGTTAAAATATTTCGCAATGCGAACTATCTACTGGTGCGAACTACGCAAGGATTTGTATGGTCAAGATCGTTCATTGTGACAAGACGTACTGCGTTTTGTGAATGACAGATTACGTTTATAATGATTTTTGTAGGATACAAGCTTCTTTGTGCGGTAATAAGGCAATCATTTCTCAAAATGGGTGGTGTGTGAAATTTTGGTTTACTGGGGATTAAGCACCAGAAGCGGGATACATTGGGTGCAAACCGTCTAATAATTATTTTTTTCAGCCGAAACATTGCTTTGTGGTCTATGCACCGGGTGAGTACTATGGTCAGAAAGTACTGTAGTAAAAAAAGGCTCTTACGGTAGTGGTCCAGATAAAGGCTAACACTGAATCAAAATTAGGCAATTGAATGTGAACAAAATAGAGGGCAATGTGCAGTAAGGAAGTCACCTTTGGTCGGAAGGCTCATCAGAGATTGTTCACATCTTTACGCGCGCCAAAATTCTGGCAGCTACAATAGGAAGTTTTCGTAGACCGCGGTTCCCCCTCCGCCAAGCCCTCCGCAGCGAAGAAGCCGGTAGTGCGCCTGCGCGCCGGTGGCCTTGACTGTGGAGTTTCGGGCAGTGTTGCACACGTTCCTCCAAAAAAAAAGGAACGAAAGATCGTTCCTCATTCCTCGTTCCTTCTGATTTTTGGAACGCGTTCCCGTTACAATTTCCATTTGTGAAAAAGGAACTCGTTCCCGTTACAGTTAAAAAAATGGAACGTATCGTTACATATACGTTACATTTGTATTTTGCTGATTACCATACCAAGATCAAGCATAGTTTTTTTTAATCTATTTAATTAAATGGGAACATACTGATTTGAATTGCCTTGATGGCAGGGCACCAGGAGAAGAAAACAAGCGGACGCAGGGTTTCCTTTTTTTTATATATTACCCTTCGAAAATATCAGCTTTTAACTATATTTATGTTTGTGGTGGGCGATTCCGACGAGCCAAATATACTGTTACCCCACATTGCACGAGCGTTTTAGAACATCTTCACATGTTTCAGTCTAACGAAGTCCATTTTTCGAACTTAACAGTTGCTTCTCGATGTCCGCAAGACGAACACGTGAAGAAGAGGGTAGGGCATTTGGAAGGTCGGTCTTGAAAACTACAAGTCCTTCCTCGTGAAGGTTAGATTCGTTGTTCAGTTTGAAGGTGGGGGAGAAGGAAAGTGGGTATCTTTTAAGTGATCAATGTTTTGGATACAAGGCTGCGTTTGATGTCTGATAACCTATTCTTTTGTTGTAACTGTAGGTCTCTTTGTGGAAGTTCAGTGATGGCTGTAGTCGGCCTTAGATTTTTGTTTCTATAAGGATTCGTGAAAGCGGAGAAAGTATCTGAGTTTAAAACGTCCCTCTTTCTGTGTCTTTTCTTTCGACTAAAAGATTCGCTTTTTGTAGCGCAGTCGCGGGCACTGAAACAATCAGTGTCAACTAGCTCTCCTGTACCCTACAGTTACCAAGCGAGAACCACACAAAAAAAGACATTAAGATAAGTAACCAAAAGTTAACGAGATCCTGCCCTTCATAAAAATATTGTTTTTATACTTTTAGAATTTCCCTCTTAGAAATAAAATAAAAAAAATACGCCAGTGGACAAAAGGAAAAATAAAGGAACCCCGTTCCTTTTTTCGTTCCAGCAAAAATGTAAAAATGTAGCGAGTTCCAGTTTCAGCGATGCAAAATGAAACGGCGGCGTTCCTTCGTTCCTTCTAAAAGGAACGCGTTCCAGGAACGTCGTTCCTTCTAAAAGGAACGTGTTCCAGGAACGCCGTTCCTTGAAACGCCGTTCCGCACAACACTGGTTTCGGGTATCGAAGCGGGTTGCGGAGAGCGTTTCGGAGCGGCCAATACGATATACGAAAACTCCCCAATAGGTTGTATTGAGACGGAACGTGAGAGCGCCCGTTAGCTTTGAATCTAATCAAGTTTGGTGCTCGGTGACAGCTCGTCCGAGGTGAATGTTAAAAAAGGAAGGAAAGCGTTTTCATGACGCTGCCCTCTTCTCTCCCTCTCTCTTCCCTCCCCTCCCTCCCTCCCTCCCCTTCTATTGTATGAAATTCTGTAAGTACACTCTTAGAAATCTGAAGCGCCCACTATCCTGCAAAGCTCTTGGAAGAGCCAATCGCTGCAACTTACGGAGGGAGCTTGGCGAATGACGAGGCTAATAATGTCTGCAAACATACAAAAAGAAGATATCTGCTCCATGGCATTGAGCAGGGTGAAACGTCACAGCCCGCGACACAGCGCAGACGTTTTCTTTGTTTTTTTTTGTGCGTATACTTTTTTATTAGTCTCATAATTTACCGAACTCCCTGACTATACTGCAGCGATTGGCTTACATAAGTCACTCTGTGGGAGAGTAGTCGCTCTAGATTTTGCAGAGTCTACAGCGCTCACCAAACGTATACGGAACGGACGAATCGTGTATCTTATCGCATGTTTTTTTGGTTTCATGGCGGCAGCCAAACCAGCAGCCCCGTGTCGTAGGCCACAATTGAACAACCTAACAAAGCCAGTCGCTCCAGGCTTCAAATGCGGCTGAACTGAGAGCACCGCAGCAATGTTTCCGGCCAGGCTATCCACGTTAATTGCCACGTCGACATTGAACGGCGTGCAGGCAACTCGTGCCTGCGAAAAATCGTCAGTTATTCGATGTCTCATTCAGCTGTCGTTTATACTAAAAGTGCCATTCAATATCTAACGATTTTTCCAATGCACCGTCGAGTGCGAGGCATGCGACAAGCGGATTGACGGAATGTTATCAAAACTTTTATAACGGTAGGAAGTGCTCAGCTGGGGCGTAAATTTAGCTGGTAAAGCTAAAGCCTGCGGGTACCTCTTCGAAGTGAAATGCGAAGAAGCATCAAAGTAATTGTTCGCGCTAGTTCGCGCTAACAGCTTCGCGCTGTGTACAACACGGAGCCGCTGGCTCGGCTCACGGGAAAATAGCGTTTGCATGAAATAAAATCAGACACAGTTTACGTGTTCCGCATAAGTGTGAGGACTGCCGCGAGCGGACAGGGACAGATATAGGTCGAACTGGGAAATTGTGAACACTTTCTAAAACACTGCATCTGCCTGCCATCGTTGAGGATACACAAGAGTGGACTGCGTTCTCTCCAACAGCGACCCAGCCCGAAGGCATGTGAGCTTTGGTGACTGGAAGAGAAAGGGTGGACAGGTCGTGTGCCATCTGTGCTTTTTCCTAGGAGGTGTGAAGAAACGGTTTTCGAAGCTTCCAAGCCAGTTAGCCATGCGTGGTGACAGGTGTTTTAAACATCTTAAAGCACGTGACGACGAGTACGTTGTGTTTTGCATGTTTTGAGTTATTTTAGAGGGCATTCAGTGCAGAAACGCAATCTCGTGAGACTTCTGGTTGATATAGCGTATTAAGAAAATTAGAATACGCATTGTGGTACCTGATCCGTCATACAAAGTTATCGATTTTAGCGTGTCTTCCCTTCCGTAGACCGCATGATACATTGAGTCCCCATGGCAAGAGGAATGTTCTACATGATAAAATGAGGTGGAGTTTCAAGAAGCCTCAAAATTACGTAAATTTTACTGGAAGGTTTTACATGTAAAACCCTGAAGTTCTCTCATGGCGGTCTATCCCTCTAGGCTATTTTTACTTAATGAAAACGAATTACCACAATTTGACGTTAATTTGCCCAAGGCGTTTCTTAAAACCACAAATATACTTGATACCATAAGGTGCCATATTAGACAAATTACACCCGCGCTTTCATTAATCTAGGATAAAAATAACTTAGAAAAAAAAAGGACTGAAAATAATAAGTGCATTTGTTTGGGATGAAGCATTTGGCGGTTGCGAACACCAGGGCACAAGTGTTACGCAATAATAGGCTAGCCTAAAAGTACCTCAATCTAGAAATCTTCTCATTTACATATCCGTTTTCGCTGGCACTTTTCAAACGGATGACTGTAGCCCGCCGTAAAAATAGTCCATAGAAGATATTAAATGACTAAAAATATGTACTATATATAAATTCTGCTAACAATATATGCCATCGCCCAATATTATATTAGTCTTGCTTGATCGTTCTATGTTTTTTTTTTGCTTTTTCTTTTTTTTTTGTTAAGCAAGTTGCGTTTGATTTTGTGTTTGAACTTCGGGCTTCGGTATACCCGCTTCCCCGCGAAGTTGCTTGAGCGCTCAGGAATAGCAGGAGAGGCAAAAAACGACTACTATCACTACAGTCCTCAGATTGCAGTGCTTGGCTTTTCTGGTTTTCTGTGAAAAAAGCACACGCACGGGTATCTTTTTAGTGTGTGAACGAACTATTTTCTTTCTCTAGTAAGTAATCAATGTCACGTTACAATAAAAGCTAAACATGGGGGTACATACAACAAAAACATCAGATTGATGGAAAAGCGCTGTAAAGATTATGTTCCTTTTATATTGAGTCGTATTACAGGCGCAGTGTCACTAAATGGGTCGGGGGCAATCTCTTCCCTCACGACGGTAAAACGCGTGTAGTTATTAATTTATTTACAACCTTTTATTTACCAACAACACTCCCAGTTAGCTTCTTTCAGACAAGTCATGTGTGGTATGAGTCGCAAGAGCAATTTGGCGCAGCTTTTGCCAATTCTTTCTTTTTAAATGTCGGTTTGAATTTATTGAGGAAATACAATTACTTCAAAATTATGTTCAAGCACACCATGTGCAATATCTAAATTAATTATCTGACGGACTGTAGATAAAAATTTTCGAGTCTGTCAAATTCTTTTGGCCGTGTAATCGCAGGAATAAATAAAATAATTGATTAATTATTTAAAACTGTATTTTTTGTAGAGATTTTCTGCACA